ATTTTATACAAAAAATGAACTAGTGTGCACTTGGTCATGAGATGATGAATAATTTATGTCTTTTTAAAGCTTTTCAGGAATTTCTCAAATTACTATAGTGAATGTTATTGATTTTATAATTAGAAAAATATTTTAATATGTTTAAGGCCTGTACTTAAATAATGATTATTATTACTTTTGTTGTTCTCATCAATAAATCATCGCTAATTTCATTCTAACCAATGAATTCATATTCAATGTATACTTTTAGCACTATAGGAATTAAATCAGCTACATCACAACATTGCTTTATGGAAAAGCCACAATTACAAATAGTAGTCGCTATTGTCTCTGTGATGGTTAATTTTATGTGTCAACTCAGCTAGGCCATGGTACCCAGATATTATGTCAAACATTCTGGATGTTTCTGTGAAGGTGATTTGGGATGAAAATTACTTTTAAATCTGTGGACTTTGACTAAAGCAGGTTGCCCTCATAATGTGGGTGAGTCCTGTCCAATTAGTTGAAGGTCATTCTAGAACAAAGACTGACCTCCTCTGAGCAAGAAGGAATTCTGCCAGTAGATTGCCTTTAGACTTGAACTAAAACTCTTCCCTGAATTTCCAGCCTGCCAGCCTATCCTGTAGATTTTGGATTTACCAAGCCAATTATGTGAGGCATTTTCTAAAAGTACACACACACACACACACACACACACACACACACACATCCTGTGGTTTTGTTTCTCTGGAGAATTTTGACTAATACACTTCCCGTTCCATAGATGTGCAGACTGTTTTACTGCTCCTTGCACTAACTCAGAGTCATGGAGCAGTCTTCTTAGATATAGACGCCTTTTCTTTTCAATTTATTTTTCCTGTCAGTTCAATGTGGATTAAAGCATTGAAAAAATCCATAAAATATACATGAGCTAGAAGGGGAAACACTTTTCATTTTAAGAACTTTGGTTTGTTTTGAGATGTCACATTTTAAATGTCATAATAGCATTTAAAATCCTTTCATAGAATTGAAGGAGCAGCCAATACAAACACGAGCAGCGGTTTCTGCAGTAATCTAACATCAATATAAATTTGGTAACTTATTCTTTGCACATTAATGGTTTTAAGGTAATTAATTGTGTCTAAAATAAATAAACACAGGAGGTAATTCAAAATGTGAAGGCAAGTTTGCCCTCAAGAATTTCCTGCAGGTATTTGTAATAAGTACTCACCTAGATCTCTTTCTTCCTCTCACTAGCTGATTTCTCTGAATGTCTAAATTGTTCTCAGCTCCACTAATTTGATAAGTGCTTCTTGATAGCTAAAGTATTAGACTAGACAGAATACAATATAATACAATATGGTACAAAACAGTGTAGTACAAGATACAGTGCCATACACTACACTATAATACAATGGCATTCAGTGTCTTACCATGCAGTATAATACAATGCAATGCAAAACAATATACTGTTTCAGAAGAGACACTAAGTATTCCACTAGTCTGGGTCCCTTATTTCATAGATAAGGAAACTGAGCCCCAAGAAGGCTAGAAATCAAACATAGCAGTTTTTGGAATCTTTAAAACAAGACAATATTGATACGAAAATACATATGATTAACTGAAACTGGAGGACATCTTAAACTGCAAACCAGGTTAACACTGAAGAATTAAGAATTCAAAGTGAGAAGCTGAACAAATGAGAACAAATGGAAAGAACCTGGGTTTGATGCCAGTACAAACTCTGCTACACAGGGCCGTTGTGGTAGACTAGAGTTCTGGTTTCTGAATTTGGTAGTATGACTTGGACATCACCAGTGACAGAAATGCCATTTTTTTTTTAAAGTAGGGAACCCCGGTATAATCATAATTTTCTCACTATTTAGTCCATACCCCACTGCCGCTTTCTTTGTGATAAATTGCTAGGATCTTTTTTCACATTCCCAAGAAAACAGAAATCTCATTAACTATTCTTGACTTTGTCTTTAAACTGGATTCTTATGGTACTGGAAATGTAACATTGTGAATTATAATGCCGTATTTAGACATTTCTGCCTATAATATGTAAATGCTTTGGCAATTAGAGGGAAAAATGATTGATTATTTCTTTTGAAATATTAATTCTTAACTTAAGATTAAAACATCCATAAGTTTATTTTAGCAAGAAACTAAAGTTAGGGCAGGCACAAAGCAGGGAGCTTTTACAGAGCATTCTGATGCCCATACAAAATGGGGTTTCTCTTATCACTCACAAACTATGATGAAATTGCTTCTTTACCCTCCCCTCAGTGCTCTTGACAAATGAGTCCATCAAAAAGAATTTGAAAATGATACCTGTTCATGTTTCTCAAATTTTTATGTTAAGTATGTTATTCTGAAGCCTATATTAAGAAATGCTTTTCTTTTCTTTTTTTTTTTTTTTTTTTTTTTACCAGATGATGATAGTAATTTACAAGTCTGGTATTATCTTGAGATCCATATCCATCCTGGGAAACCTGTAGATGTTATCGAAATGAAATGTATCGCTATGGTAAGAGCCCATTAAATGTTCGTAGACTGTTGTTTTGCAAACAGAACTTTTTTTATTGTACACTTAAATTGCTATTCCTGAAAAAATCCATATTAAATAAGCTTATTGGGATAAACTATTCAAATTATAGTAATTTTATTTTTATATCCAGTAATATGTACCTGGAATGCTTATGGAAAAGATCTTTAAGTTCTGTGGTATCTTACAGTGGCCGCACTGATTAGCATTCTACCTGCATATTTCAAGAGTTACTAGAGCAAACTTAACCTTCGCCTGCATGTTTGCCCTCACTCCTATGACAAAAGCAGCATTGTACTTGCTCAACTCAGTACTGAGTCTTCCTGGTTTCTACCCAGGCCTTTCACTCTGAAACATATTTGGAGCAACTGGTATAGATTTGGGGTTTTAAATAATAGTGACTGAGAAGACAAAGACAAAAACCATATGATTTCACTTACATGTAGAATCTAAAGAACAAAATAAACAAAACAAAACAGGAACAAACTCATAAATACAGAGAACATTTTGATGGTTGCCAGATGCGGGGTTGGGCCACTGGACAAAAAAGGTGAAAGGATTAAGAAGTACAGATTGGCAATTACATAATAGTCATGGGGTTATAGAGTACAGCATAATCAATAATATTGTAATAGTTATGTATGGTGCCAGGTGAGTATTAGAGTTATTGTGGTAATCACATTGTAAGTTATATAAACATGAAACCGCAATGTTGTATAGCTGAAATTAATATAATATTGAATGTCAACTGTAATTGAAAAAAAGTAAATAAATAAATAAAATAATAGTGACTAAGAATAGGGTTGTCTTATGTGAATTATTGAAGTGTTACTAAATCCATGTCCAGAATTAATTATTTAATAAAGTAAAATATTGAGAGTCCTGATTTAAATGAAACATGAAGACAGTATTCATTTCTATTAATCATGTTTTAATTCAATTTAATTTCCCTATTGTTAGTACTCAAATATTCAAATCTATAACAAAGTTTATTTTCATTTTTAAATGTGAAGATAGATTTCTTCATAGAATCGATTATTTAGAATCTTGAACTTTTGCTCCAACAAATAGAAAATAAGAAAAGACTTAAAACACTTTAAGTCTATAAATCAATTATTTGCTCATCTGATTTCTGGTTAAATTTCCACTGAGGCATAGAAAATGGATGGTTAAACTACTGAGATACACTCAAGTATAAATCGTAAAAGCAGTCTCTTCTAAGTGGAATATGATTTATTATGACCGTGATAGGATTATTTCACTCAGTGAAAATGTCCTATTTCTATGACCCTGTTATGACTACAGAAAAACATATACCATCATGGTACTTTATGTGGCTATGTAAGAAGACTGAGCAAAAAGCAAAAATAAGCCACCCTCTGTCTCTGTAATGCACTTCAAGTATGTTTTCATTTTTAAAATTAAGATTTGCATATACCCTTTTGGGAATATATTGTTTTCATGAATAATGTACTTTAAATTTCATTTTGGGTGGTGAATACACAATGCAATATAAATATGATGTATTATTGAAACCTATATAATTTTATTAAGCAGTGTCATCCTGATAAATTTAATTTAAAACAAAATAGTAGCCCTTGTCCATTTTCCATAAAAGACTTGCTTCTTCCTTTGTAATCGATACAATTATTATCATTTAATCCTAATTTGATACCACACTGGGTTACTTATGTCTTCTTATTGGTTTATTACTTCTGATTATTGTCAATTATACTATTGCTTTTATTTTTCACTGTGAATAGTTAACATAGTTATTTCATAAAAGACATTGAAATAATTTCCTCCTAACATCGACAAAGATGAAAATGCAAGTTTTGAGCTCCAATTTCATGGAATAGTTTTACATTACAATGCAGGAGCAAAACAGCCCCATGGACTACTAGGTTGCTCTCTTTGTCTCTATAGACTGGTGCGCTGTACTAATTAAGTGTTCACTTTCAACTGACATTGGTGGAGAAGCAGAGTCTTTTCCAACTCTACATAAGCTACCAATAACACTGATGTTGTTGGAAACTTTATAAATTTTCCCACATTTTTCATAGTAATTGCCTAAGGTAAAAACTTATGAGCTCTTTAACTTGCAGGCATGAAGACTGAGTTGGTAGAAGTTGGTATGGGTTATTTTAAATAATTCCATCAAATAAACCTTTGTACACTTCTTGAAGAAGACACTTTCTGAATATTTTCAGAAGTACATTGAAACTTTTGTCCTCCTTTATATATTGTATCCTAATATTTTTTACTGCATTTACTGTTTTTGCTAAACTTTTGAGAAATATTTTACTTAAACCTTAAATCATCAGATGTGGCAATGGAGCTTTCAAGATACGGGGTTGAATGTAATTAAGTCGTCTCTGATTTTCTGTCTGCTTCTCAGCTTTGTTACATTCAACCCAATTCCCACATCTTCCCTAGAGATGAGTGAATGCTCAGAATCTCTCTAACATATTGTTGGTGTAAGAAATGTTTAGACCCTCAAGGCACATAATTTTGGTTACTTCTTACAGCAGATTCCAAAAATCAGATTATATTCATAATAAATAATCAGTCATTAGTAGTTCATTCTCTGTTGTAAAATATTTAGGGTTTCTCTTGGGAATTTTAACATGTAATAACTGCTGTTCCATCTTGCTTGAGCTCAAAAATCTCTTGTATGTCATATAGTTTGGATGTGGGAGAATGATGAGACTAATCCACTGTCTTCCCACTGATACTTAGTAATTGCAGTATATAGCAATTAGCTATATTTTCTGAAAACAAAACAAGTGTGTGAACAACACTTTATAGGCTTTAAGTTTTGGATTAGTCAGAGTCTTCATAATTTTTGTTCTGTTGCCAATGATAATTGCATGACCATTTCTTTACTTATTTTTTCATTCTATAATCAACCTTCAGTTAAATTCACTGTATTGTTAATGATAAGACCTAGTAAGAGAAGAGCATTTTTCAAAAATATCTCATTGCCTATTTTGTGTTAAATCACAAAATATGTACATTGTTGTGCCATAGATAAAGATATAGATAGATGATAGATAGATGATGTATAGGTGATAGATAGGTGATAGATAGCGATAGATAGATAGATAGATAGATAGATAGATAGATAGATCTATGCAGATATTTATATCTGTAGAGAGAGAACCTATTTTAAACAGCTAAGCAAGAGGGTACTTCCTAGGGATAAGTCCCTGCAATTAGATATATTTCTTTGTGTCACTGGCTTTCACAGTTCCCCCACTACACCCACAGGGTTTCGGGAAATGTCGGAATACATGTGAATGACCCTATAGATGCTACAGGAGTTTCTGGCTTTTTCACAACTCCAGGGCACCTATCAATGTATCCTCATCATCCCCATGTCACCACCAGTATGGTATTAGCACCCACCTTGATTGTACCTCTGCATTCTGTATGTCTCAGGTTAGATGGCAGAGGATTGGAGATGGGGGGGGGGTGATGGCATGACTTCTGTAGGTACAGTGACATGCAGGTGGCAGTAGCAGAGGAATGACAATGGCATTCCTAGTTTAGAGCTGTCTTCCCGGTTCTTCTGAGTTCTGAACTGCTGGCACTGACTTTTCAATTTAGGAAAATTACTGAGACAGATTAGAGTTGTCACTTCCTTCAAATTACATGGTACATTTTAAAATACCCTTTGGAACAGTTTGTTTATTGACTCGATAAAGTTTTCAAATCGAATAAAATTAAAATTGAAGATTTCATCAATAATATGCTTTACATAAATTAATACTTTTGTGTGTTTTGAACCTCAGAAATAATCCTTTTATAATGAACTCATGATTATCTTCTGGGAGAGGATATGGTGAAAAATACTTCCTTCTAGTGCATATTGAATTGTCATTGATCCAATTAAACTCTTATGAGCAAAAAAACCATAATCTTTATTTACTCTGATCCAGTGAGAGTAGGAAGTATGAAATTTTCAGGGCAGATACTTAGTGAATTAAATTTTTTCTGCTCAGAGAATGTGTAAATTGGCAACCAAATGATAGTTAACCTACTGTCTTTCTCCCATCTGAGGCTGCCATCCTTACTCAGTAACCTTCATGAAAGGGGGCAGCCTGGGTTAACTTGAGATTTTTAAACTTCTCTTGAGTCAAATTTTCACATGGTTACTGTATTAGTTTAAAGTTCTGGTTATCCAGACTATCAGACATATTAATAATTAGATTTACATATAAACTCTAAAGCATCTTATAAATTGCATATTTTATTATTTAATGAACATTTATTGTCGCTACTATTTATTGTGGCACTATTCTGGATGCCGAGGAACAGTGATTAGCAGTACAAACAAGGCCCCTATTTGTGTGGCGCTAACATTCTAGTGGAGTTAAAAAACAAAAAAATAAAATTGAAATAGAATAGAATAAAAGAATAGAAAGTATCAGAGAACATCACGTATGGTAAGAGTAGAGAATGTTTTGTGCAGCTTTTTTTTCAGTGGTGTATGTGTATGGGCTGGATCATTATGTAAAATGAATTGATCTGGGTTTTAGTTAAAATATTTTGAAAATCAGTTGTTTAGATCTTAGCATTTTTACTTCTTTGAAGAAGCTATAGCATTGTCTTAAATTGACACTAACTTTCTCTAGAAAACATCTGAGTAATAGACTAGGACAATGTCTAGTCCAAAATGTTTCTTTTTAATTTTCTGTCTAAAGATCTGGGAGAAGTTTCTAGGCCAATATATGGTTGTTGGTACTTGTTATCCTGGCACAGTCCTTTGGTTTAGTTGTTGATTTGTTTGTCCTTTAGAAAGTTCCTAGGAGGCAAAGTTCTGTAACAGTCTTATAAAATATGTCAGGTTGCCTAGGAAATAGCAATCTCTGTGACATAATACCATTGTTGGCTTTTTTGCATTTTATATTTTTCTTTTTCTTTTATAATTATGAATATTGGATATTTTACTGTAGGAATTTAAATGTCCATTTATTTTTGGAATCCATGATTCTAATATCTCTTGAAACTATTGTAGATGGCCATTCTCCATTGCATTTATAATTAAATATGATTTGTAATAAATGATATCTACTCTATTCTAATTATAAACTGGTATGTATCCTTGATTTCCATCTTTCCTTGCCAGATGTTGTTCACCACATTAAATGCTATTTACATTCCCCTAAAATGTAACGTTTATCCACTCATTCATTTATATAGAGGTAATGTCTATCTTGAAGATATATTTTGTGAATAATTCTCTCCCCATCACCAACTGTCTCCACCAGCTCAGTACCAAGGTTGTTTTTGTCACCTCTGTAATGTGATGCGATAAATTTCAAAATAGCTCCATGTCCTAAAGTACATACATTTCCAATCTTTAAATTATGACTTAAATGTCCAACATTTTCCTTTTCATTGGATTAAAACATTTTAGACAACTGGTCTTTGTTAAGATTGAAATATGTCCTATCTACAATTCTACCTTTAATACATTTGCTTCAATTAATGCTTTTTACTTTAGTGGAAATCATGGCTGTCATGGAATGAAATATAAGTTATTAGCCAGGATGGGTCAGAATTAGAATCAGGAAATGTCTTGGAACTTGAAGAGTGCCCTCCAGGGCTCAGTGTGTAGCTAGTGGGGCAGGACAGGAGGAACCAGAAGGAAGGAATCTAAACAGGAAGGTAGTTATATCATCGGTATAATTTGAGTTCTTAGTTCATATTGTCCTTACTACTTGATCTACTTGATGCTAATGTACAGAACTACTTAAAATATGTCCTCTGGATCAGCAGCAGTATCCACAGTGTTTTAGAAATATAAGTTTTCAAGCTTTGTCCAAGATCTATTGAATTAGAATCATGGGGGCAGGGTCCCAATAATCTATGCTTCAGCAGCTTTTACAGGTGATTCTTGTGCATGCTGAAGTTTGAGTACTCTAGGTAGAGAAAACATTGACAAATGGACGTCATATTAATAATGGTACCAAGGAAAAATATATTTAAAATGTAATTTTATAACGTTCTTAGCATTTAGCTAGATATATCTCTTACAGTATTTGTTGTTGAAAAATAATAATGTTACCATTTACCAAGACTGTTGAGGAAAACAAAAATTATAAACAAGTGAGATATATTCAGTAGTGAATCAAGGAGACAAAACAAATGGCCTTATATTGCATAAAAGTTTTCTTTGTATTTGCTTCCATGGAACAATGACTCTATATTGACACTAAAAGATAATTATATTTATTATGTAATTCCAGGAGAGCACTTGCTTTGAAATACCTCTCTGTAATTCAAAAGAGAAAATTCTTCATGTAGAAGTGGAATTATCAAATCCTGCCCTTAGTGGACTCAAGGAGTTTGAGCTACATCCACAAGAATGTATTGACTATGCTGTCTGTTATTCTCCAGCAAGTACAGGCTGTAGAGATGAAAGGTACAGTTTCAATATGGCAATATATTTTATTGTTGATCCTTTGAAATTAAGCTTTTAAAACGATTATTTCTTTGCATACTATAATCATTTATTTTATACTCGCTCATAGTTTTAGCTTTATTTAATACCATTCATTTACAAAATGTACTAAAGTTAGCATTGTTTTCTCCAATGAAAAATATTATTTATTGGAATTTCAAATTAAATAATTCTTAAATTGCTCTTTAAATATCCTCTTTCACTTCACTTTTCACTAACCAAATTTTTCTAGATGCAAAAATTGAATCAAATTAAAATGATTACATAAGGAATAGGGATTAAATTTTCAATTTTCTTGATGAAATTAGTTTATATTTTATATTCTTAAATACAAATCATCCACTTGGAGGACATAGAGAATATTAAATTAAGGGTTTTATGCTATGCTGAATATATATATATACACGATGCTCCTCGACTTACGATGGGGTTATGTTCTCACATTTTTACTGTTTCTCTCAAAATGCTGAACACATAATTTTATTTTTCACCATCATAAATCAAAGGACATGAAAAATAGAAATTCCATTATCATTCTTTTATAAAACTCGTGCATTTAATACACCTAACCTACCAAACATCATAGCTTAGCCTAGCCTACCTTAAATGTGCTCAAAACACTTACATTAGCTTACGGTTGGGCAAAATCATCTAATACAATAAATATGCTGTATGCTGTAGGGTATCAGTTGTAGCCCAAGAAAAAGTCAGAATTCAAATTACACTTTCTGCTGAATGCATATCGCTTTTGCACCATTGTAAAGTTGAAAAATGATAAGTTGAACCATTGTAAGTTAAGCTGTCATAAATTGGGGACCATCTGTGTATACACGCACATATCACAAACATAAACCCATATACGCACATGTATTAGCAGTGCAATGACAAGTGTTTTTATAGCATAATTATGAAAAACTTTCTTAGTACTGTATATTCAGCTACATGCACACACAAACACATAGCTTCTGTTTTCGTGATTATCTCAGTTCATTTACAGTAAAATAATTAACTTTATTTCACAAGTAATATCCTATTTATTTATTATAGTTTTAAAAACTAAGCTTAGTATTGGTATGTATAATACATTCCATTATCCCATGAAAATGCCTTTTACTAGTAGTTTATATGCTTTTTCAGAGTTAGACTAATTCTTATTTTAATGAATGATGAATAAATGAATATATTTGTGAAATTTTAAAAGAGAAAAATTTTTATAATGTGAAGCATGAAACTAATAACATAACATTATAAAAGACATTATTTTGATTAAATGTGGGCTAGTATCCTCTCCCCAGCATGACCATAGTTGTAAACACAGACTGAATTTTGAATTTTCTTTATCAGCCTACATTAAAAGACATAATTTTGGGTAATACCTACTGACTGCTTACTCTGTTATTATCACTGGGGGCATGGATTTTACATACATACACGTGTAGGATGATTGATCCTATTTTATAAATGATGAAATTGAAGCTCCAAAAATTAAGTGACTTGTTCAAGGCTCCACAAATGAAAAATGACAGAGGTAGGATACCAGCCCAGTAATATTTTTAGATTGTTGCATGTTCTCTCTCTGTCCTCCACATAGATGAGCACATGCTGACTATAAAGAAAGTTTTCCAGAGCTGCATGTCACTTGATAGCTTTCACATAGAAATATGTGCATTAATTCAATACCTAAATTTGATTTAATCACCGTAGAAAAGCAGAGCTTTTCTTGTGAGAGGTCCTGTAAGATATTTAAATTACTTATGTTTACACATTTTTCATTGATTTAACAGACAGTTATTAAACAAGTATTAAGGATGGCACTGTTTTTCTTAAATAATAAAGTGATTTTCTCACCAAAAATGAGAAAATTTTAAATATATCTACAACGAGAGCAGAATTTGTCATAGAGCAGTTGTCTGATATTGTATTGGGGATATTTTTTTCTGCCAAAACTATTAAACAGTCTAAAACGACTGATAAGTTTTTGTATATTCTCTTTACCAGCGTTGTTTTTCAGCCTGATAAAGCTCTAGAATACTGGTATTTACTGAAATTTACTGTTGAATTGCCAAAAACAACCACAATGCCAGAAATACATTGTGACCTTGGAAAGTAAGTTCTATTAAATAGATAATATTATTTCATGGAAGAAAAAAGTTTATCTAAAAGAATATCATTATAATGCATTTAATGTTTTTAATAAGACATGAATATATTTTTAAATTGATTTTCTTTTCCAGGGAAGGTTTAATATTTAAACTACGCTGTGGAAAACTTATGTGAAAGAAAAACAAATCGGGACTTAGTAAGAAGAGGCTTTTATTCAAAATGATTATAGCAAGGGAGAGAAAGAGACTATACAAATAGTTGGAGGGAAACTATTGCAATAGGAAAAATGGTCTGATCTCAGAAATATGCAAGTGTCTCAAAATCAAACAGAGAAAAACTTTTTTTATAGGGTAAAGGAGGGACAAGCAGAGAGAAATGAGCAGAAACTTTGGAGGGAAAGCTAGACATAGCAGGGAAAATGACCGATGGGGACTGATAGGAAAAGCATCTCTCTGGGGTAAGCTGATTCCCAAGAAAAGCTGGGAAGGGAGACACATTCCTCTTTTTTGTTTGTGCTTGCTCAGGCTTGAGGACAAGCAGAGTTCAGAGGCCTGTAGGAAAGAAAGAAAGAGAGAAGGCTGACTAAATTTGGTTAAGACAAAGCAGAGGGCAATGGGCAATTGAGAATACTTGGTCACTTGGTTAATACCATATTCCCTTCAGATATGACCATTTATATTTAGGTGGTTGAGCTCCTTTTACATGTCTGACACTGAGTTTGGTGCTGGTACATAGGGGTAACTGAGTCACAATTTCTACTAGTTGGCAAATCAGTACCTTTTCATTATTTTCTCTCTCTTAGAATGCCAAAAGCTTGTTGAATTCTCCTAGTATCAGATCTTGAGCCAAAATATCACAACAGGTGATAAGAAAATGATCCTAATAAGAAAAATCAATAAGAAAATAGGAGTATCAGGATAACAAAAGGGAAGAATCTAAGCAAGGATGTCATTGCTGGTACAGTCCCAAACTTAATCTGATCCTGCAGAAAACTCTGGAGCATAAATTACATCTCAGAGTTTGCCTTGTCTCGATGCCAAGATTCTGTGCCTTTGCGCTCCCGTACTAGTCACTAAAAGCTTAGGATGAGCTATAAACTCCCAGGTACTTCTGCTGTAAGGTTGAGGAGGCTCCAGAACCCAAGGGCAATCATCTGAAGGTCTCAGATGGAAGATGAACAGCAAGCATGCAGAAGCTGGGGGATGGGAGCAAAGAGCTGGTAAAAATCTTCTAGGGGAACTGGGTGGGGCACAAGCAAGTTATTTACAAACTTATTTCTAGTTTTATATGTTTTTTTCTTGTTTTAAAAATATATTCATATATGAAAACTATATATATGTATAAACAATTATTAATAGATGTAAGACACTTTTGTGAAAATATTTGGCTCAGCCAGTTTTGCAATCATATGTTTTCATTCCACTAAAAAGACTAGCCTTTTCTCTTTTTAAGTTCTCATTTTTAACCTTTTTTAATTTAATTTTTATGTAAGTCATACTATGTATAATTGAAAGTCACATAATATTAAAAGGTATTTGATAGTAACTATCTTTTTAATCAGCCTTGTCCTGGATCCTTATCCTCTTTGAAGTTTGTGTGATCTTTCTTTGTACTCAGTGTCCTTAAAATTCTTAATGATATATATTGATGTGGCCCTATTTTCATACATTTTTCCAGGTAGTTGGGATCTCTTTCAATATAGAAACACATGACTTTCTGTTTCTGAAAATCTCTAATTATGCCATCTCTCTATTTTCTTTCTTTTCCCTTCCTACAACATTTATGTTTTGGATTTAAAACTTAGAGGCTGATGTTTTAATTTGCTTCTTTTTTTTTTTTTGCCTTTTCCCTCATTTATGTTTTTGCATTCAGACATATTTACTGAATTTTATCTTCCAGTCTTTTTGTTGAATTTTCATGTGAGCTATCAACATCCAAGAGCACTTTTGGTTGTTTTCATTTTAATGTTTCCTTTGTTTTTTTTATATATGACATTCTGTTCTTATTTCATGTTTTTAATATTTTCTCTCATATCCTTTAAAATATGAGTGGTCATTTTAAGAGACCATGGTCTTTGTCTTTATGTGTATGGTTTTGGTTTTGTTCTTTCCTATTAGAAACTCTCTCTAATACTTATTTTACTCATGTTCACACGTGAGGCTCTAAAATGATAGTTGGACCTTATTGACCTGACCCCCATTCATGCTGTTCTTCATTTATTTTCTTTGCTGCCAAAAGAAATCTTTTTACTATGTATAGACTTTGGTTTTTTTTTTTCCTCCAGTTTTGATATATTATGAAAAACATAGCTTATAGCACTGTATATGCTTTTGTTGCACATTTGTGCTCGTTTCTATTGTGTTTAAACATAGGAATATAATATCATTTAAATTTAGTGGATAATGACAAAGAGTTTGAAATTGGGTTTTCCTATTGACCTATTTACCTATTTACACTCCCACCAGCCATATATGAATTGTAGTTGCTTCATATCCTCAAAAATACTGGTATTGTAAGACTAATTTGTACCATTGTGGTGTGTGTGAAGTCCTCAGTGTACTTTTAATTTACATTTCCTTTATGATTAATGAGTTTGACTCCCTTGTCATGTTTATAGACCATTCTGATATAGTCTTTTTTGAAATACCTGTTCATGTTCCTTTACTGTCTTTCTATTAGTTTGTCTGTGTTTTCTTTTATAATTTACAGTTCTTTATATTTTTTGGATACAAACCTTTGTGGGTTATATATGCTGCAAATACCTTTTTTAAAACTATGAGTTTCCTTTTCAATCTCTTAACGGAGGCTTTTAATCAAATTAAAGTCTTGATTTTAATGTAGTTTATCAACATTTTCATTTTATCCAGTTCAGCCATACTCCAAAGTCATAAAACACTTCTCTGTCATTTCTAAGAAAATGTATTATCTACACTTCTCATATTTAGATCTATAATCTGTCTGGAATTGACATCTGTATGTGATGTGAGAGAAACATCAGTTAGGAGGTCATTATTCTAATTCAAGACCAGGGTGATAGCAGTTTGGACAAGAGTGTTGACAGTGAGTGTGATGAGAAGTGATCGATTTGTGGTGTCTTTTTGAAAGTGGAGCTAATGAGTTTGCTGTATAATAATATTTGAGGTATTAGGAAAACATACCATATTTTCTTTACTCTATTGATGAATATTTAGGTTATTCTCATATCTTGGCTATTGCAGGTATTGCCTTGAGATATCTCTTGGATTTCATTTCCTTTGGATGTGTACCCAGAAGTAGGATTGTTGGATCATGTAGTAGCTCTATTTTTAATTTTTTGAAGAACCACCATTCTGTTTTCCATAATATCTGTACCAATTTATATTCCTATCAACAGTGTGCCATTGTTCTCTTTTCTCCACATCCTCACCAACACATGTTATCTTAGTTTTTTAAAAAAATAATAGTTATCCTAACAGATATGAGGTGATATCTCAGTATGGTTTTGATTTGCATTACTACAGGATAACAATTTTGATGTTGTGTATAAAAAGGCATTAGAAATGATGGTAGATTGAGAATTATGAACCCTCTTGATTATTCTTTGCTTTGAGCATAAATACCAGCCATATTTTGGGGGGAGTGGGTATTTACTCATTATGAGTTTAGATCTTCTCAATGTAATGGACAGAACTTTGTGAATTTATTACTCTTTGTTATTATTTCTAGACTATGTTAACATTTTTTGTCTGGATTTAGCAGTTAAAATAATGAGTAAACATTGCTCCTAAAAGTGGAATATATTCCAGTACCGAATGTGTAAAACCATTTGGTGTCAAAAAGAATCAAGGATTATCAAATTTAGCAAAACAACATTAGTTCATACATGATTATTCTTGTTTTGAAACTCACAAAAGTCATTGTATTAGTTTCATAGGCCTGCCATAACCACCACCACAAACTGGATGGCTTAAGACAACATAAATTTTTGTCTCACAGTAATGGAGGCTAGAAATTTGAAATCAAGGTTTCAGTAGGACCATGTTTCCTCTTAAACCAATAAGAGAGAATCCTTTCTTGCCTCTTCCGGCTTCTGGTGCTTGCCAGCAATCCTTGGTGTTCTTGCCTTCAGATGCATCACTCCAATCTCACCTCCATTATCATTTGGCCATCTTCTCATTTGTCTTCATATCATCTTCTTATAAGGACAGCAGTCATGTTGGATTAAGCACCCCCCCCCACACCGCTCTATTATAACTATATCTTAACTAATAACTGAACAACCGTATTTCCAAATGAAGTCACGTTCTGAGATATTGGGAGTTCAATGTATCTTTTGGGGGGATGCATTTCAACACATAACAGTCATCAAGTTTATAAAATTATCATTGAACAAGTTTATAAACAAGTTTACTAGCTTTGTTTTTTCTTCCAGATATTTCACTCAGATGATCCCTTTAGTTAATCCTACACATGAAACCTTAGAATTGCAAGTAAAGAACAGTAATCCTGATAATTTTGTCTTGGATACTAACAAATCATCAGTAAGTATATTCAGAAAGCCACGTAACCTAAAACTACTAGAGCATTTTCTAATTCTGATTTTGTGACACTGTGGAATATTAGCATTTGAATTATTAATAAGATTTTAAATGTCTAAAATTTTAAAATGGAATTTATATGTATGTATATATATTGCTAATTTTAATTTATTGCAAACCAATATTATATATAAATTTTTGAAATTATGTATGCTAGATTCATGCTCATTATCACTGAATTCTAAATAAATTGGTTGTGCTTTATATCTGACCATTTTGGTAATCAGTTTTTGATGATAAGTTCCCAGTAATATGATTTTGACTCAGCAGTCATTCAGTGTTTCCAAGGTCCCAAGAGACCAGTTCTTTCCCAGCCCTTCGTGAGTTCTTGCCTACCCCGCTTCCCCCACTTCTAGACAGTGCTGACATAACTCTGACACTCTCCTCCTTTCTCTGCCCCATTTTCTCATTCCTAGGTCCATGTTAGAGACTAGAGCCTGTCAGTGGTCCTAAATCACTTTTCTCCTCCCCCATGTAACAAAATAGATCTGGAGGTTTAGCATCACTATCTGTTTCCAAAGCATATGATGTCAAATATGTAAAGTGAATGTCAAAACCATGCTTTCAGGTAGATTTCAAAATAATAATTGCAATAGATTATTTTCTTCAGAGGATCTCGCAGTAAATCATGAAGCCCTACTAAGTAGATATGATATTTAAATAAGGGATTTTACTATTTGCCATTTAATGATTGTTTAAGAAATTTACAATATGATTTCTTTATTTATATCTTAATACCTGTCTCTTGTCAATCACGTTGCCAGCTAACAATAATTATGATAAGAAATTTATTCTTAACGGCCATATGTCAAATTTTATATCACTAAGTATTATATTGATAAAATTGATATATAGTTTAATCTTTAAAAAATTATGTTAAAATGTACACATGTGCTTGTATTACTTGACACTATATTTTCCATAAATTAAATGGAATATGATGTTCAGGATATAGTTTACAAAAAACTGAAATTCCTCATTAGAAAGTAGTGTTTTCATATCCTTTGTATCACTGCTTTTATGGAAGAATGTGAATGGGGAAAACAAATACAATATGTTACAGATGCCACTTTACATTACATAATGAAAAATAAGGACTCTGCTTTAACATTTCCAACCTTGTATTTCAGTCCATTAATTCTTTTATACATTTACCAAATATTGTTAAGTATGAAATAAGCAGTTAATGTTAATATTAAGAAATAACTAAAAATATAAATTTATAGATGACCAAAAATACTATTATATATTGTAGAACAATTTAGTGGCACACATTAGTATTAATGGTACTAAATATAACTACTCTTCTTTTTGTTGCATGATACTCATCTTTACATAAGTAAAGATAAAAAAATATTATTACCCCTAAATGAGCATAGATTGATTATCAAGGCAAATAATGACATAATTTATAATAATTGTTATAATTATATATATATAATTACAATAAACTGGTAGATCTGCTGCAGTTAAATTCCAACCAATGGTGTTTCTCTTTCTTTCCTTGAAAACATGGGAAATGCATTTGTCAGTGAATTTTAGGTGAATTTTAGGTGGAAATAAAGGAATTTTTTTGAGTTACTGCCTGGTTGTATACACTACCTTAATCTTTACCACATGCCTTTGACATATATTTATAGAAGAGGAATTTGAGGTCAGAAAGGCTAAAATACTTAAGCCATATGATTAGCAAGTTTGATTTTCATTCTGGTCAAAAGAGGGCCGCTGGGAGTGGAAACTATAAAGACCATGTGGATATTCTGGCACCTACAGTTCAAGAGTTGGCTGCCCTGGAAAAGGAGGCACAGACATCTTTTCTGCATCTTGGCTACCTTCCTAATCGGCTGTTCAGAACCTTCTGACTTTAACATACACTAAATAAGATGCGAGTAGGAAAAGTCTGTAGTCTTAAAACTCTGAAACAGTTGTACTGCTTCCAGGCAGCAGTATTTATATATATATAAATTATAAATTGGAGACAAATATATATATATATATATATAAATTATAAATTGGAGAAAAACATATATATAAATTGGAGACAAATTATTTATATATAAACTTTAGAATGAAAATCAAAGCTAAGGTAAGTATTATATATTTTTTCCAATGAAATGGGTGACTTCATATATATGTATATCCTCCACCTATATAGAGAGAGAAACTTTTTCATATCTGCTAAATTTAAAGAGTATATGAAATGCAACTTTTTTTTTGCTAAGGTTGATACTGAAATTAATTTATATTCCTTAAATGTACATTAACTAATAACCTCGAAATATTCCAGGTATGAGAAGGAGAGCCTGCCTGAGATAAAAATATTTGCTGTAGATATATATACACATAAATATAATAAGGAGGTAACTTCTAAATATAAAATTAAGTTCATATTTGTATTTCATTGTCATCAGAGTTTATTGAGAACAAAGTGCTATATTTAACGAGGATTGAATGACACTACTAAATTGCTATTTTACTTTTTCAGAAGTTATCTGGCAAAATAAATTAGCGAAAAACTAACTGATTTTTCAGACATGTACCATTCATTCTAGTATTCTATAAGTGTTGATATTAGATATATTATTCACAGTGTAGCATTTTGATTGCATGAGATACTCAAGTCCCCAATATATTGTGACGAAGTTGCTGGCTTACAGTCTCTAAAGAGGTAACCCAAATTAATACTTTTCAGAAGCAAGTTATTCCAACAGCTCATACCTTGAATGTGTATGTAATAGGAAGGACAAAGAGGAAAACTTCATCACATGCTAAAGAAACATGACTTACATCTATGTTTAGAATGAGTTCATTTCTTTCGATGTTGCCAAAGCTACAAGTTGAGTTCTCAGTGTTTGACGTGTATCTTAGAATGGACAATAAACTATGGTTTCTTAAATAAAATATATATTTCTATTATTGGGAGTTATAGCTCAGCTTTAAAAATTAATCTTGATTTCCTTATACAGAGTAACTAACTCCATGTGGTCATTGTTTGGGGGAAAAGCATAGCATGAAAACTACTAAACATTGCTTACCACCAGATATTTTACCAATATTCATCAAGCAGGCACACTGAGATTGGATGTGTACAAGGCAACACATTAATCACATGAACATTTACCCAGCATATACCTAGCCCACAAGAATGCTGACTTGAACAAAAATATTGATTGTTTTGTTTCTCTTTTCCTTTCTAAATTTGCACAGCTGAACTTATCTCCTCATTGCACGAATAATGTACCTGTTCACTTTCATCCTTCTGCTCTTGGAAGAAGTGGTCACCAAGCTTCTATTGTTTTCCACTGTGATCAGGTATGATAGAGTATTCTTGGATCAAGTCAGGTTAATTAAATTTCACAGTCAACAAATAAGTAAATCTTACTCATGCAGTTGGCATCTTTTACAAGCACACAGATCTAGAACATAGGTGTTAATGTAAATGCCAAATCGCTGGCATTTTTATTAATTTTCTGATTTAGGTTTTACAACTCAAATTTTCATGAACTTAAATATAAAACTGTAGAAAATGTGATCTTCCAAATATCGTGGATTTTTTGCTCTCTTTCATCTGTACAGTGTTCCTGAATAACAATAATTAAAAAAAAAAACAATAGTTAATCATTTTTAAAGCATCTCTAAGCATGCCATTCTTAGAATTGTCTCAGTTCATTCTCACCAGTCATATGGTGGAAAGATTATCAACCCCATTTTATGGACCAGGAAACTGAGATGCAGAGAAATGAAGATCAAGTAGCTAGTAAGAGGTTGAACCCAGACCTGAACCCTGGATGTCTGCCTTCAACTTGTCTTCATGACTATTTTTACAGCTACCTGCAGATTGCCAAGTGATTATAACTCTCTTACTGCGATGAAAATTTTATATAAATTTTTACATTTATTATTATTATTTTTTACTTCTTCAAGTGTTGATGGGCAGGAAAGTAAATGGAGACATGTACTTTAAATCCTAAGGGACACCAAGGAGCTAACAAAACCCTGCCATCTGAGAGGCAGTAGAATCAAATATAATACAGAGGTCCCTATGTCAGTTCACAACTTGTGGTGACTGAAGTGCCCTCTTCCAAAACAATGTATAATTTACCTTTAGAGAGAATTGAGGCTATTAAATTTCCTACATGATTACTCACTTATACATGACTTGGAACCATACTATGGAACTATGCTTGATTCAGAAATATTAAAACAAAACAAAACAAAAAACAATAATCCTTATGCAGAAGGAAAAGTACAGTGATTATTTTATTTTACAAAAATAATTTTAACAAGGCAGATGTTGTAAATCATTACTTCATAGCAGGGTTAGCCCCTTTATCTTAATTATTGGGCACACTTTAATTGCTTGCATTTCTGGTGGAAATTATGTCTATTAAGAGTAATCTGGCACATCAGCAGGACACTTATCAGTTTTCCATCTCAATACCTTTAGAAAATCCTAACCTAAAAGTCCAACGTGAAATTCTTAATCAAACCCAAAACTCAAACACAAAACACAAAACTCAAACAAGAACTCAAACGAGTAAGTAATCAACTCAAACCTTTTATAAATCAGTTTTACACTGGTGCTTGAGTTTCATCACTTTAAGCATCTCCTTGCAAATTGTAGAAAATCTCCAAGGATTCATCTGTGGCTAGACTTTAATCAGTCATTCATTCATCCTTTCTGCTACAGGGTCCAGACTCCTTCAACCTTTTTAATGTATTGCTCATAATCTTTGTGATTTTTCTTGCCTTTCCTTTTTCTTTTTTTGCCTTTATTTTTTTTTCTTTCATTTTTATCTCTGAATCAGTTGGGTCTTCTTCTTTTATTTAATTCTTCGAGGCAACATCCTAAAATTAATTTGGTTAAGACATCACAATTGCAAATATCATGAACTCACATTATGCAACCAGATTCTCTAAATGAGATTGTGTTACTGCATATCAGAATAAAAGGGCTAGTAGTAAGCAGCAAATGTGGTAATCGGGCCTTCTCTTTGGTACCAAACATTATGTTCTGAGATTTTTATTCTTGGTTTTCACTTGTTTCATTTTTACTTTCAAATCATTGTCATTATTCATTTCATTTGTATTTAATTGTGTGACTCACTGCATCTCAAGGTCAGAATAACAAAAATGAAGGAAAGAAGATGAAGGCCAGAGAGGTTTTAT